TCTGTCTGTCTGTCATTTGTTTGGTCTATCTATCTGTCTGTCTGTCATTTGTTTGGTCTGTCTGTCTGTATGTCTGTCTATCATTTGTTTGGTCTATCTATCTATCTATCTATCTATCTATCTAATTGTTTACCGTTGTGTCTGTCAATCCAATGCACTAGGCTTGACAAACTTTCTTTTTCTATTTGGTTAATATAATTCCACGCCACCTGAGTGACCTTTGTTAAAAAGTCAGTTTTTGACAGTTATTACATTTTGAAGAACGATTATGAAAACGATTTGGTTTTCTTAAGAAAAGCATGCACTTGTGAATTGTGCACAGTGCAAAGACCAGTAAATAGAGTCAGTTTTGACATTATGTTGACTATTAGAGAGAAAGTGCAGAAAACGTTGCATAAATTTTACCTTTGATACTCCAGAAACATCATCCAAGACTATTGTGTTTACTGTTTTTCTCCAGAATGGCGACAGGGTCGACTGACCAGAATCATCCTCCAGGATGAAGACGTCACCACAAAGATCGAGAGCGACTGGAAGAGATTGAACACACTGGCGCACTACCAGGTTAAACAATGTTTCCTGGCAGCTGCTCCGTTATATTATGCAAATTTACAAATGCTTGTCGTGTGCTGTACAAAAATGGAGATGCTTTTTTTTATAGTTCTCATTTTCGATCTTAGGTGACAGATGGGTCTTTGGTGGCCTTGGTTCAGAAGCAAGTATCCGCTTACAACATCGCCAACTCCTTCACGTTCACTCGCTCTCTCAGTCGATACGGTAAGCCTCAGTCTCTCAGATCACTTTACGCCACACAATCCTCGGCTTTAGCCATGTTTGTTTAATATATCATTGATTCTTCCAGCATTTTGTGTCATGCCACATGCAGCATGTTTGGCTCAAATGGGAATCTAAGATCTTTTCACCAGCCATTCAATGAAATAACACACACTGTAGGCTGTGTTTCAAAACCTAGTAAGCTAAACAGCAAATTTGGATATCATAGACATGCTCTCAATGTTTAAGATGTCTGACTAACTGTAAGAGGATCCATTTCAGTCATGATGTTTATTTAGACATCTATACTTGTAGACAGTAAACGCTGATTCGGCTCACTAGGCTTTGAGACACAGCTATTAGAAAGATAATGATTCAAAAACAGTTTCGATGTACAGACTAAGATATGTAAACTGCAATGCACTGTCAAGAAGCAGATTGAAGAACATGCTCATTTGGATTGTACTGTACATAGAGAGCCTGCTGAGGACGTCTAGTAGTCCAGACAGCCTTCGATCCAGGGCTCCCATGATCACACCTGACCAAGAGACGGGCACCAAACTCTGGCACCTGGTGAAGAACCATGAGCACGCAGACCAGCGAGAGGGAGATCGTGGGAGCAAGATGGTGTCTGAGATTTACCTCACACGCTTACTGGCTACCAAGGTACATAAACATCATTCTACACAGGAAACGTATGTTTTTTAATGCAATAAACCACTCAAGGCTGTATGCTACAGTGTTTTACCATGGTTAAAAAATTATTTACTCACCCTAACATCAGCTGTTCAAGGATTGTTACAGGATTTATATTTTTATCACATTTGAAAATATATTCAAATAGAAAACAGTTATTTTAAATTGTAATTGTAATATTACAATATTACTGTTTTTAGCATATTTGTTGTTAAAGGGGTCATTTGATGCTTTTTTAAAGATCATTATTTGGTGTATTTGGTGTAACAGAATTATGTTGACATGCTTTAATGTTCAAAAAACACATTATTTTTCAAATACTGTACATTATTGTAGGTCCTCTATGCCCTGCCTCTCTTAAACGCTTCGTTTTCTACAAAGTCCCTCCTTCCGACAAGCGCAGTCTGCTCTGATTGGCCAGCTGACCCAGTGCATTGTGATTGGCTGAACACCGCAAGCACTCGTCGGAAATGTAACGCCCCTTACCATAATCGCGAGCTTCATCTTTCAAAATAAATGTAAAGACAGTAAATAATGTAATTAGTTTTACCATCAGTTCAAGCCCGAAAGGGAAACAGAGTCATGTGACAGACACAGTGATGAAGCTGGTATGTGTTTGCAGTACACAAGCCACGGTTAAGACAGCTGACTCCACTGTGATGTGACCCTGTCTCTATCTCTCTCTCTCGCTCTCTCTCTCTCTCTCTCTCTCTCTGTCTCTCTCTCTCTCTCTCTCTCTCTCCCTCTCTCACGCGCGCGCACACACACACACACACACACACACACACACACACACACACACACACACACACACACACAC